ACCGAGGGCATTTTGGGACTTACCAGGAGAATCCTCAACTCTCGAAGTGTGTGGTTTGAAATAGTCAGTATACATCCTCTAACTTGAACAATCTCTAGATGCATATCAGGCAGTAGTCTCACGCCTCACGTAAATCATTCATAGTTGTCGAGGTGGATTCAACTGAAGTTTGAAACTGAATACGAACGAACGAACGAACCACTTGGAAAGTTCCTGGTCTACAATAAGCATTAATGCATATGCCACCAAAACATGCATCTTCACCCTCGAAACCTTGACACAGACCATTCATCTTAATCTTCGACACACAATGTGGTGGTCCATTGTGGAAATCGCAGAACAAGAATTTCGATGCACAACTTGGATTCTGCATACTGCACGATGGTCGCGGAGCATAAGTGTACATGTTATCCGTGTATGCATTCGATAGACCTGAAGTATTGTAGAGCAATTGACTAAGTGTTTGTTCTGATCAGCTTGCAACGCTCTCCAAAGCACTCAGATGATTCTCACGCTAACATGAAAGATTCATTACGAAACGCAGACTTTTACTATGGACAAAAAAATTTTGCGACAACAGAACTGACCATCTTTATTCACGAAATTGAAAAATGGTCGCATTGCAGAGTTTGAAAAATGTTGAGGATTCTCACAAGCCTCGATATCCGGCGAATACTCCTGCAAATGATATCGGAATGATGTCGGAATTTTCTTGATGGAATAGCACTTCCACAACAAACAATCCGCCGCACAAAGGTTCAACCTCGTAGATTCAGTGATTTTCATTCTAAGGCCGGCATTTTTTGAATGTATCAAGTGCAGAACTACACTAAACGGTGCAAATCTAGTGGTGATTAAAGCGAGATTAATGGTGACGACGTATGAATTTGAAATGATAAGGTGAGTGTGATCGAAGATATTCAAATGCTCTAAAGACCTGCTCCCGTTGCCAACGGTTCTGTCGCATTTGTCGCCATTGCTCGAAGATATAATCGACAAAAGAGTGATGAAGGTAGAAGACTGGATCGTTTGCTGAACGCGGAATGGGCTTCATGTCACCACCAATCCAGTTATGTACCCTACCGTGCGTGTATTCGAGTGCTTGGAAATTGACCGGGTAAGGACACGCTGAAAGATCAACTGATGATAGTGTCGGAAACGTGCTGACACTGTTGAGAAAATTCAATTGATGTGAAAGTTTTGAATTCATAGTGCTAGACTGAAGCATTCCGCGAGCTTTGAGGAGTACAGCAGTGAGACAAACTTGTGTATGGTGCCGTATAGCTGAGGACATTTTCAATAGCTCCTTGTGCGTACACATCGTTCAAATCCCGCTCTCTGAATACTGACCCTTCGAGTCCAAGATCTCTAAAATCCCTTTTTTCGTTCGTTCATTTCTCAAAAATTTCTTTAAGATTTTTCAAATGTTCTTGAGAGCGAATTACTATTACAATATGATCATATTGTACGATTGATAATGGCAATCAGTTACTTACTGATGTTATAATCAGCGCATTTTGAACTAATAATTCAAAAGTTGATCATTTGATAATACAAGTGATCTGATTCAAGCCGCAGAATTCACTTTTCATTTCTGCATTATAACGATAAGATTGATCAGAATTAAGTTGTTATTCCAATAGAATCATTTCATAGAACTTGTACTTTGTTCATTTATGATAACTTTCGAGTGGTAATGAATTGTTATTGCTCAGCGATTTGTTTATCAAAACATTTCCAATTAAAATTTCAGAAATTTTTGACAGATTGGCGAATACTTTTATGGCTGAAATAAGTGATGTTTTGAGTTCGTTCTGAACGCCCGACACAAACAACTACAAAAACATGCTCATCAACGTCGCTGTCGACTATTAATTCACAACAACAACTACATCCTAATAACCTTGTTATCGTCTGTCGGCCTTCAAGAGTTCTAAAACCAGCAAACGGCCCATTCACAACATTACCGAACTGATCGTTTTCTCCCAACAACATCGTACTCCACATAATTGAATCTCGTGGATCTGGTAGGTAGCTATCCAGTACTGAATCCCAATATGGGATTGCCAGTGATGGATCAATCATACGAATCGCTATTTCTACTCTGCAATAGCAACGCATCNAAATCGTAACCAAAATTTGACAACACAACTGGACTTGAAACTGTGAAGCCATGACTTATTCACTCGTGTTTCAAATGATTCAGCTGCATTTCAGGAGTGACTGTATTTCATCAATGCATTCACTGTATGATCATGGATCAACACCTTGACTAAAGTCTGTCTCGTTCCTGAACGTTCCCCTTAATTGCATCGTTTTTTTGCGCGAAAAGAAGAACAAATTTTGTAGACAGTCCAAAGTACTTTCGATTCGATTGAATTAAGTTGATTGACGCGCTCCGAGCTGTTGATGCAAAACATTCCGAATGTATTCACTTGCTGATGTAATGGTGTAATGTGATATCATCAGTTCCAGACTGTTACATGTATTGCCCTGTTTGAATAAGCACGAACCACTCTACATCATCAAAAATTAATCATCAACAGATTTTGCTTAGGCAGGCATTCAGCTGAAAGATAGCCAGTAATTACTGGATGGTCGTCATAAGTGTAACCTTGAGAGCTTGAGAGAAACAATCATTTTTGATTAACCTTTTCAAGAATTCTCTATGCCACGGAAGAAATCCAGGTCCGGAATGAGCACCACTCGCTTCGGCGACCTTGAATAGAAAATAGCGGGTAGCATAATGAAAAGTGAGAATATGAGCCGATCATATCAATGGTGTGCGGAACTTTTTTCGATGTTTTAATTTGGCTGTTCTTTTGATTCAAATCTCGATGTTACGATATCAGTGGTCTGCGCACCAATAGCGACATCGTAATTGAGAATATGCACATTATTTGACCACAATACAAGTTCTTTGCTACACTCATTGAAAGCATTGAAAAGAGAACACAATCAACACGAATAATATTCAGCTAACGTCTCGATGTATCGACGCAAACTCATCGTATTGACCATTTTGCTTGAGCTGTCGAATGGCTTGATAGTATCGTTGACGTTCATCGTCACTCAGCTGACGTATCTCTTTACGAACTGCTATCCTCAATGGATATCCTGACGGCAGCTGACATTCGCCATTTGTCACTTTTCCCTAAATCAAGCAACGCTTCTGAAGTCAACTTTGACATTGGTAACTGTTGTTGAGACAACATCTGTTCGTGAAACAATCAAAACAGTGACAATTAAGAATTAAATCTCTTGAATGGCAATTAACTTGATAATTCTGATTATCGAAGGTGTTAAAACTATAAATAGATAAATATTTCGTGATTGAATAGATTCTTTGCGATTTTTTGTCCTTTTTGGCGATTGCGTATTCAGATGTAAGGAGCGTTCAATGGCTATTTTTTTGATCTTTACTGATCGCATCGGTGAGGGCAAATACATTAGTAATTGCTCCAAGAATGACACTTGCGATGTGTTACTACTATCATTTTGTTGAGAAATGACGAAACATCCGATATGAAAAATCGCCTTTAGCAAGTGCTTGTAAACAATTACAGTCTATCCTCAGGCACACGAACGAATATGTGACGATGTTTAAATAAGAAAATGTTGTGATCATGTTAAAT